TTAGTGGATTTCAGAACGCCTGATACTAAATTCTAGCTAGATCAAATGCCACTCAAGATGATGTCTCTGATATTGGGTCCCTGTGCACAATGTGCCAGCCTATATCGTGTTAGTGATACAACGCCTGTACTTCCCACGTGGGGTATTTAGTACACGGTAGAACCGCAATTGATACGCGAACACCTATACATACATTCTTTTCTTCGTGCATAAATCATAGAATGCTACCAGCGAGGTAAGTTGTAGAACACAATTGATCATTCGGCACTGGAGAAATTTCGAAAGGCAAACATCGTATTATTTACTGTATCCGAACTGAATTTGGTTCATTGCACTGGAAAAAATATGTTAAATCAAACTGAGGATTCGTGATTTGAGTTCTGACAGAGACACGAAAAGTAAGCGCACTGCTGACGAGTCCCAAACAGGACGAAACAACTGCCTGGTGCTCTTGGTCGGTTATCAAAAAGATTCCTATCGCGTTATATGCTGTTTATAACTTGATATGATAGTATTATGGAAACTTTTCACTCCACTTTGCGGCTTGTCCTGCCGTCGAATTGCAGGTTCCTATGGGTATACGATTCACTTCCTAACCTCGCCTGATTCCCACACCTATGTGAGTAAACAGCGGAGAAAAATTTTCATTTGAACATCCTTTACTGCTTGGATAGCGCACTGTTTTTACTCCACCAAAAGACATCCTAAATAGGCTACCCTATCGATAATGCACCAGTTCGAACATCTACGCGATTGAGTGCGGGTCCGAAAATTCAAAATGAGAGCTCGAGACTGGGAAAGTGATGAAAATAAGTGAACGAATTAGGCGAACAAATTTTTTTAAAAATAACGAGCATCGTCGTGATTGGGGCGTTTTCATCATCGGTGGATTGTGTGGACCACAATGGTGAAGTCGAAAGAAAAATTGCCCGGCCCAGATTACTGATAGAAACACTCATCGCAGTAAACAAGTGAAGACGTACGCAACTCCCGTGTCAGTTATAATGGCTTATACCTAGAACTAACCACGGCAAACTAGTATGTGAAGTCTAGACTGGGCGTTGCTAATCCGTTTATTCCACGGGACGCGCGCAATGCTGCCAACATGGTCACCTCAATACGGAACACACACAAACGTCACAAGCACAAATTAAAGCAGGACGAAAAGGAGAACAATAAAATGGGAAAGCATACCTGGTGCACGTATTGGATTCCTTGTTCAGAATACCGAAAAGCCATTGGACAGCAGTCATATCCGGCTGCCACAAATGTGGATGGTCCGACCCAAAGACAACTTGTGAATGGCAGAAAGTCTGAACGCAAACAAGAGACTACTGCAGGCCCACACTTGACACCGCCAGCCGTGCTTGCACCAGGACTGACATCCGCGACAAAAATAAGAGAGTTGTGCTTGGCCCAGGCCAACTTGGTGCCATCGGCAGAGAAGGCCACAGTGAGAACCCAACCGCCTGTAGGTCCGTAAAATGTGGAGATTTACTAATATTACATTTCATACACGTCTGGGCCGAGAAAATGTCAAACAATTCACGATATAAAACTGTTAATAAAAAAGTTAGAAGATTAGCTTGGGATGTGATACGGTCAGGTAGTTGAATGTTCTTGGAGAATTCACGACTGGAGCGTTTGATTAACAAAAAGCCTCACGCGCAATGCAGCGGGGCAGTATATAAAAACCGCAATCCGTTGGAGGTCGGTGTCCAGTTCATCAGATCTTACACCCTTTGGACGGGATCATAAGTTTAAGGTGCCCAACACAACTCGACACTCAATAGCGCCGGTGACCACTATCACGACCAGGAAGGTCTGTTTGGTTGGTTTGGAATCAGGGTTTTCAGTCAACTCCCCTGGGTGAACTGAGTGATTCACCGAACCAGTTACAGCCTGGGATATTGGTTTTTCGACCTCTCACTTTGGTGGGGAAAACCGCTACCACGGGAAGACAGTGAGCAGGACTTTCTCAACAAAAGCTACCGGAGAAGCTTGATCGTATGAGAACATCTCTCGCCAGTTGTGCAAGAGAAGAGTAACACTAACCACAACCCACCACACCCACCGACGAACATACTCAGGCTTTCAGAGAGAATATCGCTAACTATGCAACAAAAGATCCGCACCAGCTATTTTGCCAACAGCGATAGATGATGTTCCACGGAACAGCTTCTAACCCAACTTTTACTATCTCGACGAATAGCATTGCCGTTCTAGGGCGTGTTGATTATATCGTCTAACCCAGTAAAAGTAAGCAAGCAGTGTGAACGGAGTCAAACCGTTTGACGGTTGAGGTTTCAGTATGGCATAGAGCTCTACTACAACGTTAATTCAAGACTGATAGAAAATCACTACCGGAGTCACCACAACTGATGATTAGCTGGATGCACTTGACAGCTTTGTATCTCCTGCGTGCGAAATAGCAATTGGAGGTCACAATGGAGATAAGAATGACCTGTGCCAACCTACGGCATCTATGGAGTCACCCCGACATTCGTCTCTCACGGCAGCCCTGAATGTGTGGTGGTAATGGTTTCGCTCTACAGTTGGCCCTCCGTTTATTTTACACAGTTTACCTTTACATAGATATGAAATCCCTCCCGTAAATAAGTTCGTGAAAGGGTCAAAGTCTAAAGCAATGAGTAAACGTAAAATGATAGGGAAAAAAAATCAAAATTTGTCTTCATGCAATTTGGAAAATTTTTACTCACCTTCCGATTCATAATGCTCAAAGAGCATTGTTCCTAGGTTTGCATGGCTTCCCCATTCGCTCTCCTGCGCTCCCGATTGGATGAAAGCCGAGTAAACCCTGACACGGAAGTCAGAGGAGCCACAAGCAAGCACAGAATTGTTCGGATGCCAGTCCAGACAGGTGACCGTGGACTTAAACTGCTTTTTGATTCGTTTGCTGACCCACCAATCGGAGGCTTTATCATAACAGCAAACAGCGACCAGCTTGCACCCACTTCCGACGGCAAACCGATCTTCCAGCGGCGACCATCTAACACACACAGCGGCACGATCAATCTAAAGCTGAACACAAACATCAGGTTTAATTACCATGAGCATCACAAGGGCTGGTTTCCATTTCCCATCGGCCTGTTTAGTCCATACATACGCATTCCGATCAGCTGAACACGATACAATGCGATCTGACTTGGGTGCCCAGTCTATGCCCATAACATTTGCGGTGTGCCCTTTGAGAATATCGATGACTTTATATTTTCCACTTGGGGTTGATGGAATACTGACCAAATAAACATCGCTTGTATTCACAGAGATAGCCATTTGGGTACCATCTCCATTGAAAGCATGGCTAACTAAGGCATCATTACCGATAGCGTGGGCGGAGGCCATTTTCAACGTATTCCGAAACTAACCAGCTCGGAGATTTGGCTAAAAAGAAGAAAATATGCGTGTTGACAGCAATATCGTAGATGTGGGAAAATAAACTACATTTTTAAATTGCAATACAATGCCGTCTACGCAGTCCAGATTAGACAGTCTACCACCTAGAAGCAACTGGATGCCAGTATCCTCGTGCGAGGATAGGGCTGTTTCCATAATCAAATCTATAACAAAGTTAAATAGAAAAGGAGATAGGGAAATCATGACAAACAACACTTTCCGTAGTGAACACGGGTGAAAGTGTCGTAAGCTCAGACTAGGCTTCAATTATTAGCATAAGGGGATCGTGATAGTGAAATGAACTTCTCGGGCAGATCCTTCATGGAAAAGCAGTGTCAGAGTTTAGAGCTGTCGACTGAGTCAAAAGCCGCTTTTAGATCGAGGAAGACAGAGATAGCGGGTCCACGAAAAGAATGCCGCTGCTCCAAAATTTGACGAAGGAAGATGCGGTGTATACAACCTCGATCAGGTCTAAAACCAGCTTTGTTCTCACGTATGCACCGTTCATGTGCAGCAAACAATCGACGGAGTGTAATAACAGCGAGAAGTTTAGAGACGATGCTGATTAGACCAATTCCTCTGTGGTTTCCACAAGATGATTTGCCATCCTTCTTGTAAATCAGTATGACTGATTCACACCATTCCGCTGGAACCTGTTTCCTCTCCCATATTGAGCCGAAGAGTTTCGTTAACTCTAAAACTAATGCTGAACCTCCATCCTCCAAAACCGATGGGGAGAAGCCGTCCGAGCCACAGGCCTTATGCCTTATGAGATGACTGCTTTCCCGGGGTAACCTCCATTTCAGATGGAGGACTGATATTCGTTGGCAGTATATGTCCAGCTGAAGCAGGTATTAGGAAGTTATGTTGATAGGGGCCAGCTGAACTGAGCGTTAAAATGATTGCTACTATTACCTATAGCCACAGCCTTCTCCATCTGCCTACACTTCCGTCGCTTCTCATGGTTATTACTCAGGCTTCTGATGAGCTAGCGTTTAAGGGCTTTACGCACTTTGTCATATTTGGCATCAGAATTGCACCAAGAAGCTTTTCTGATTCGTCCAGGGATCCCACTTGAACATTGAAGTCTCCAGCCACTACCACGATGTCCGTTGGCCGAGCACGTTAGAACAATTAAAAGAGGTCCTTGTTGAATTCATCCTTCATTTCTGGCCAAATGCAATCGGTCGGTGCATAGATGGATACGACGAATAAGCATCGACGCTTCATTCTGTAGCTGTTGACCCGTAATAAAATGCCGAGAGGTACAGCGCACAGTTATAAACCGAAAGGGAAAGTGTTCCACAACTGTCATGTTCTTGAGAAAAAAGATGATTGAAAGTTAAAAATACGATACCCCGGGGTTGTAACTTGAAATGGGTGGCTAGCCGCTTGTACGCGAGATCTACGAGGAGGAGCAAGCGTGAGGGACAAAAGTGGAAAGTTCACTAGAGTAAAATCCAAAGTAGCATCGATAGAGTAAGGAAGGTTTTAGAAGCGACTGACCGACAGTGAGCTAGTGACTGCAAGTTACATGTTAGGAGCGGGTCGTTGATGAAACGAATGGCCTTACGTTGAACCCGATGAAGAAGAGAAAGAGAAGTGGACGAAGCTTCACTTCCCACAACTAGTGTAAAGCGAACCTGAGCTTTATAAAGCGAGGTGAATGGCGGGTTGTCGTGTTTGCTATCAGTTCTATTCCCGTATGCTGCTACTCACGTCATTCCTTTTATTTTTCGGCCCATGTACCGATATTCTTAGACGAGTAAAGCGTACTCTTCCGGTTTGTGCG